ATCGCGAAGTTCTCAATAAATTGTGAGCTTCCGGAAGACAGAGACCTTTTCTGACTCATTTTATACTTTATCAGCGGTACTGACTTACATGATGGGGTCACCACTAAATGTCTGAGGAGGGAATGAACATGTGCCAGTAATAGAGCTTTAAATTTTCTCTTTATAAAGCAAAATGAGCACTTTTGGGGAAATATTCTGAATAATATTTGTTCAGAGAGGAGAGCAATGAACTCGCCTCTCTTCCCCCACAAACAGGTCTCTCACACCACCAGCCGCCGAACTTCTGAAAATCTTACCCTTAGGAACAGTTTTAAATTAAGGGCATTCACTCTCCTTACCAAAATGTAGTATTGCAAGGAGATTATTTCTTAAAATGTTAACGGAAACAAAAATTATTAATTAGTTAAAGGGGAAACAGTTCTAGTCTTTAATATGAAAACATTTATTCTTTGCCAAATCACAAACCAAATATTGACTCGGAAACTGGCAGAGTCTGAAATTGGTAGGTAATACTAAAATGGTTCATAAAAATGAAATTCCCCTACAATACACTCCCCAAACACTAAGTGCCCAGAGAGTTTACTATATAACCCCTAAGTGCTTTGTAAAAACATTATATGAAACTATTTACCCAAGAAGATTATGCACTGACTTCATAAATCAGGTGCTTGAACAAATGTAGGAGATCTGTTTTACCATAAATTTATATAAATTAGAGACCAGAAGGAGAAAAAAAAATCACTGAAATCTGTCTCTCATAACAAGAGGTTTTATAAAGTACATCCCAGGATCTCAGAAGAAAAACAATTTACATTCCTTAGGGACACAGAGTTATGTTCCAAAAAATCAGTTTCAGCATTAAACTGAATAAAATAAAAATGATCTGCAAGTGGAAAGGGCCAATGTTAAGTGTCTGTTCTGCCACTGGGGTTTAATAAGCCCAGCAGCCACATGCATTGAAGGTGTCAATGAACAGAGCCCAGAACTCGAAACTTGAGGTATTCAAACCAACTTCAGACCCAAAAAGTTGCAATCAAATTTTGGAATAGCAGGAACATTTCAAATTTAAGGTTTATGAAAATTTGATGCTATTTTCCCTAACAAAAGGGCTGCCTCACCCAGTCTCTTGTTTCTAGTGTCTGAGAAAAGGTAAAGAAAATGTTTGTGTTGCAAACCTAGGAGGCTAGCTATTAACTCTAATTTCTCTCACCTTCCCCTTATTTAAATGTTACAACCGTCTAAACAAAACTTGACTGAAATCCCCAAATTACCCACTAAACCAAAAAGACTCACAAAAAGATCCAAAAGTTAAGACAAGAAAGGGGTAGTTATTCATTATTGGCGTAACATAAACACCCTTACTTAAAAGCATTTAGTAATGTTTCTTCACCAATGGAGAAAGTATTTCTAGGGATGTGCTCATTTTAATGAAATTCCCTTATAAATCGGATGTCTCAAAGAGTCAGCAGTGAAGACTTTCACCTGGATTTAATTAGCATTACACAAGATCTGTTTCAAATAAGCTTTTGTTTAAACAAACTGAAATATTGCTCCTCGTGATTTTCATCTCTAGATATAGTATCAGACAGGGCAGCTGAATGTACTGTGTGCATGATAATGCAGTAGACAAAGATTTCACATACTTACTGTATCAATACTTCATCTCTGGAATAAAGCCCACATAATTTACAACTGCTGAAATATGTGTTCAAGGTATCTGAAGCAAATATTCCATAACACTGCATGTGCATAGATTGGGGAATTTTAGAACAAAATTAACTACTTCTATCATTAATCAGAATAGGAATTTAAAAATATACTGTAAAGTAAAATCAAAGAAAGTAATCCTAGTCACGGGACTATAATGTGAAACAATTCCACCCAAGGTCCAAAGTTCGATTTCCTCCACTACAGGAAAGTACAAAGTTCAAATTCAAGCGTAAACTTTTCTCTCTGCAGAAAATGACAAGGTTGTAATTAAGAAACAGGTGGCGTGTTGGGCCAAGCAATAGGTGAGGCAGGGAAGTACTAAGTACAACATTCATAGTAAGATTTCAGTAAGAAATTTTCTAATTCTCTCATAAAAGCCTCATAGGCATCGGATTTTAAAGAGTTACTTTCAAATCTCCATTACAGATTATAACAAAATAAAGTAAATAAATAAAACCAAGTCAAAGCTAAAGACAGTCACTGCCAGAAAGAAGCCTCATTAAGTCCTCTGGGTGATGGTACTCGCTTTGGCTGGGTTCCCTTTAATATCTACTAGATGAAAGGAGAAATCACGAAAGAAACAGCTCTACAACAGTCATATTCTACAGCCCAGCTCATCCTTCCACTGTGGACTTTGTCAGAAGACAGTATGAGCTCATTCCCCACTAATAATATATCTTATAGCAATGGCTGGATTTACTCTTGCATTGTGCTAGTTTCTCAATGACATGTTATAAATACAGTTGGATAAAGAGTTATTAATCAAGAGACAGAATGCTAAATACACTTTACAATACTTTATTGAATTGAAAAATCCATTTCTCTCACAAAATTCAGGTAAAAGGGGGAAAAAAGCCCCAATGTGGAGGGCAAGTTCCTTTTTAAATTCCCTTACTCTGTATTTTCATACTTTTCAAATTTAATTCCAACAGGATACAATCTGTCTCCTCTGTAGATAATATTCATGCTGTTTCTAATCACACTTGAAGTTTTACAAATAACCTCAAGTTCTTAATTTCTAATATTTAAAGTCATGTGATTAACCTGCAAAAATCCTATTTTATAACAAATGTTGTTTAAGTAGCCATTTAAGAAAGCCATTTAATATAATGCCTAATATGAGGCCATTAAGAAACAAAGAATACTATTTTCTAAAAGAGATTATTAACAAGTTGCTCAGAAACAAGAATATTAATCTCAGATGACATATAGTGGTATCTTTCAGAAATTACTGAAGTAGAGTATATCTTTAAAAAACAGGTGTAGTATTCAGAACTTTTATTATTAATGATTATAAAATGTGCTACACCCATTAATATAAATTATTCCCTTTACTGTGGCTAAATATTTAAAATAGGGCAGTATCTGCAGTTGTTAAGATGGAAAATTTTGACTACTATAAAAATGTCAACTACATTCTGGGGCAAATGATTCTTTTTTTGACACACTTAATTAACATTACTCAATATACTCTAAACTTTGAATTACATTCTTACATTTTATATAAAGCTTGAGAAAATGTATAACATGCGACCAGACTAATGTCAATTAAAGATACATTTCCCCAGTCTTCTAAAAGAATCACATTAACTTCCTCCAATCAACTTTTAACCTATTTTTGAAAGTAACAGACTCTCATATATGCCCCCCACTAATGAAAACAAGACACAAAGCAATGATATAAATATTCTCATTATTCCCTGTCTCAAGGGATTTGAACCATATGGCACTTAGACCAGCAAGTGCTATATATATATATATATATATATAGTATTTTGGATATTAGAGAGTGCCTGACTAGCTGAATTACAGCCCCCAAAACCTTTCCTCTACCTTTCACAATGGCTGTAAAAGTTTGAATTAAGAAAGAAATTTTAAATTTACAAAACTATACAGAAAAAGATGTTTAAAGTCTGTCAAAGTTCTAAAAATTAACAATAAAAAGAAAGCTTCGCATAAACCCATAAACTTAAAATGAATGAGATGGAACAGACCGTATGAAGAAAATCTTAATTTAAGATTTCAGGGACACGTGTGTACGTATGTGTACACACAATACACACACATATGTATATTGCACCACAAACCATCAGTTCCCATTAAGCCTAAGGACTATTAAATAAGAGATATTTCCCAAGTGAGCTGCTGAGAAAGAAAGAAGGAAAAATTGTGAGGAAGATAACATGTTAAATTCTTTCTCCAGAATTTTCTAGCATTTTTGCATTGAAGGGATGGACTGATTTTTCTATCCCAAGTTATAATGAAGCAGCCCATTATATTTCCATGCACTGTGTATTCAGTAGAGCACATTCAGCAAAAACACTACGATTTCTAATAACGTTGTAGTCATAATTCTCTTCCCCTACAAACATCTCAGGAAACAAAACCATATTCTACCAATGCTGAAACTATCAGCGATGTTGTCGACAACAAATACAAGAGGGCTATTACCTACTATCAGATTTCACTGTACGCAGTCTGATCAATGCTTTGAAACTGTATGCCATAAACGTAACGAGCTTTGCAGCAGATTTTACTAGCAGAAAAGACACCAGGGCGACGGGGGCCTTTACAACCCACTTCAACAAAATTCTGTAAAATCAAAGATTTACAAAAGATTTTACTCCAAGAGGTACCTACGTCTTCCTTCGAAACCCAGGCTACTCAACAGCTCCCTGAAAGACCACACCATTCTGCCACAAACTGCATATTGTACAACACCGGTACCCAGATAACTGAACCACCTGGACTGACAAGAGTTAGGCTGTCAGCTCTGAGGTGTTGCTAGTGTGCAAGAAACACTGAAGCAGCTAAGCCTTCCCAGGTAACCTTGGCACCAAGTGCCTCAGTAGTAAAAAAAAAAAAAAAAAAAAAAAAAAAAAAAAACCTTTTTCCCTATTAGAAAATGCGTAAGACTCTTCCAAAGAAAATGCTACAATCCTGAGGACCTTTCCCACAAAGGATAGCAGAAAAACGCTGGTTATTTCTCGAGTCAAAAACTGCGGTGGGAGACCAAGCTACAAATGAAGGAAACCTAGCTTCTGGTGGCAATTCTATGACAGCTTACAGAACAACCCTGACAACCCAGAGCTCAGTTTTCCTATCGGCAAAATGGGAATCACCACCGCCACCCCTCCTCCTCGACAGGGAGTCCTGCACACCTAGGAGGACTAAGATTACCCCGGACGATAAGCGGTGGGGTGGGGCCGCGGGTCCCCAGACGCCCCTCCCGGACTCCCCACCACCATCACCCGCCCCATCCCCGCGACAGAACCGCAGGGCCGGCGTACCTGGCTTCACAGTCTTGAGACGGATGGGCTCGCGGAAGTGGCGGATGACAGCCAGGGTGTCCCGGTTGGTGAGCCCGCTGACAGGCGTCCCGTTCACCTCCAGCAGCACATCTCCCGGGCTGGGCGCCTTGCCCGAGACGACGCAGCAGGTGCTCCCGCCGGGCTCCTCGCGGAGCCGCCCCAGGTAGGGGAACTCGCCGCGC